TCTCCAAAATGGAATGTTCTCAAAGTCAGGGTGTGTGTAATATAGACTACAGAGGAAAATATTAGAATCTCTAATTCTTTTAATGTTGTCTCTTCTTTTTTAAATGTCTGTTCTTGCCCAACCAGTGTACGTCGACCTAGTGGAACATCCACCTACGATCCAGAAGGTTACTGTTTGATTCTGGTCAGGGGACATGCCTGGGTTGTGGGTTCGATCCCCAGTGGAGGGCCTGAAATAGGCAGCCAATCAGTGATTCTCTCTCATCATTAATATTTCTATCTCTCTCTCCCTTCTCTGAAATCAATAGAAATATATTAAAAAGTAAAATAGGTCTGGGGAGGGGTTAGGATGGAGAAAATAGGAGATATCTATAATACTATCAACAAAAATATATTTAAATAAAATGTCTATTCTTATGTGTTATATAATGAGCATATTACATTACTTATCTGCTGTCCTTTAGAGCTGTGCTTTCTGCCCTTGACACTGCCTTGTATTCGTGTATTTTAAAAGTAAGGAGGAAGAAGTGGATATGTTCAACATTTGTTTATGTTTGGAGAACACTATTTTTAAAAAATATGTTTTCATTGATTTCAGAAAGAAAGGGAGAGGGAGAAAGAGATAGAAACATCAGTGATGAGAGAGAATCACCATTGGCTGCCTTGTACATGCCCCCCACTGGGGATTGAGCGCGCAACCTGGGCATGTGTCCTTGACCAGAATCAAACCTGGGACCCTTCAATCTGCATGCTGAAGCTCTATCCACCAAGCCAAACCAGCCAGGGCTGGAGAACACTATTTTTTGTTTTGTTTTGTTCCCTCCCACCCCATCCCCCCTATTTCCTCTCTTCTACCTCCCTGTAATCCTGGAGAACACTATTTTAGGCTGGCTTTCAGCAGGGAAATGAAATATGCAGTGGAATATGAGTATGGAAAGGGAATATGAATTAGAATAAGGGAAAACTGGAGTAAAAGAGAGACCAGTTAAGAGACTGGGGAAAAATTTCAAGACCTGAACTAAGGTAGTGGAGATAATAGAGGAGGACTTGGAGACCAGTGAGATATTGGGTAGGCGACTGGACAAGAGAGAGAAGACATCAGTCCTAGACTGTGGCCAGATTTCTGACTTCAGATCTAGATTATGGTGACACTGTGATTAAGCTAAGGATCACAGGAAGGCTATTTAGCTCTCAGTCTAAATATGATTATATTTGTTATAGATTGAATTGGTCATTCCATCCCGCACCTAATGTCCCAAACTCAGTATAAACAAAATGACAGTTGGTTCTTTACTGTATACTTTGGGGACTGCAGATTGGAAATCTTTTGCGGTTAGCCATTGGTGTTTATTAAAGCACCACACAAACTACTCTTGGGTATTGGATTGGGATTGGACCACATAGGAGAATGTAAATTGTGACCATTCATAGTCAGAACCAAGTAACTGAATTCATTAGTTCCATGTGGGCAGGGATGGAGTTACAGGGTGGCGATTTGGATCATAGCCATGGTTTGCAGAATGCTGGTGGGTAAAAGCATGTTAGTTACCTTGCCCTGACAGTTTTTTCCAGGGGAGTAAGTATGTTTTTCTTTCTCCTTGCTGTAGGAAATTATTTGCCAGATTGTGTTATTTATAACCATCTGTCATGGAACAGCTGCCAGGAAAAGAGAAGAAGCTATTCCCAGTAGCTCTCCCCACCTCCCACTCTACCATTACCACCACACACACACACACATCCGGTTTTCTGATTTAACTTTTTCTTTTTCTTCTAGTTTTACTCAGTGGTTTTTGGCTTGATTGAAAATATTCCTGTAATGAGAGATTTCTGGGCTTTGCCTTGACTTGGTAATTGTGTTTTTTCTGCTTAATTTGTTTCCTTTAGCCAAGACTAACTGGCAGCAGTTTAGATTTGAATTCCTGGGTGTCTTGAATTTCCCCAAACACTAAAGTGCTGTCTTCCGCCTTTGAAGACCTTGTATGTTTCCACTTTGTCAAAAATACACACATCTGCTGTCCTTTAGATCTGTGCTTTCTGCCCTTGACACTGCCTTGGCTTCTCTAGAGGACCAGGCTTGGGATAAAGCGTACCGAGGACTATTGAAATAACGTGTAGGGAAGTCTGTAGGGATTCCCGTTGGGCTCTGCAGAAGAAGAGGCATACTATTGGTGTTAGAAAAGAAGTGATCTCCCAAAACACAGGGCAGCTGAGGGCTGGTGTGTCTGGGGCACTTGCAAGTTAATTTCATTTCAGATATACTGTACAGTTGCTTTACAGTCCAACAGTTTGTTTATTCATTGTTTGTGATCACACACTTCTGGTTTTTACAGTTTTTAAGCTTTTTCTCTCTGGACTCCAGTTAGTAGAACATTTGCGTTTCTACGCTGGGCTTTACATTTGTAGAATAAAAATCAAAAAAATAGTAATTTCTTTTCTCTTATAGCTTATAACTGATTTTCAATATTTTTCATCTCATCCACACACAAACTAATTACTGAAACTCTGCGGCACATCAAAAAAGTACTAATTACTGAAACTCTGTGGCACATCAAAAAAGTACTTTTTTTTTTTTTTTTGCCAATCAGAAAAAAGAAATTATCCTATGTAATAAAAGAGTAATATGCAGATTAACTATCACTCCAACACACAAAAATAGACTGGCCATGCCCTTCCTCTCTGAAATCAATAAAGATATGTTTTAAAAAAATAAATAGGATTCTTCAGGCTGTTTCTTCCTTAGTTTGCATGTATGTGGGCTGATTTGTTAATGTTTGGAGGTTCCTGGATGGTGAGCATAGCAATTTTTTTCCTCTAAAAAGATAATGTTTTCAGGGACTTTTTTTTTTTTTTTTTTTTTTTTTTTTAATCAGAGTTAAGAATTAAGAGAAAGCAGAAGGGTAGAAAAAAAATCCAAATTTGAGCTTCTTAATCTTAGATAAGGCCTTCAAAATGAATTGTTTAGGCTGTAAATAATGAGTTATATGTCGGAAAAGAAATGATGGTTCTGGTACAGATTCTATACAGATGGTCCCTGTCTTACAATGATTTCTCTTATGATTTTTTGACTTTACATTGGTGCTAAAGCAATAAGCATTCAATAAAAAACTGTACTTAGAATTTTTATCTTTTCCTGGGCTAGCGATACGAGTACAATATTCTCTCATGAGGCTGGGCCGGGATAGTGAGCTACAGCTCACAGTCAGGCATGAAGTCACGAAGGCAAATAACTAATACTCTATAGTGTACTGTTACCTGTGTTTTTTTGTTTGTTTGTTTTTTTGTTTGTTTGTTTTATGTTCTGAGCAAGTTTAAGGTAGGCTAGGCTAACCTATAATGTTCAGTAGGTTAAGTATATTAAATGCATATTCAACTTGGTGATATTTTCAATTTATGATGGGGTTATTAGGACATAACCCTGTCCATCCTAAGTTGAGGAGCATGTGTATTCAGAATAAGAAATTTCAGGCAGTAAGACAAGGCATCCTAAACATTGAGCCTTACTTTCTGAGCAAACACAACCCTTTGCTGTAGTAGAGTATGAGTTGAAATCATACATTTCCCCACCCAACACAGAAACCTGATTTTAAATTAAAATCTTAGAAAAGTTGGAACCACTTACAAAAATGTCCATGAATACAGATATTCACTTTATTTTTAAATCTGGGATGATTTAGTACAATGTTTTTCAGACTTTAAAATAGCAGAACCTGTTTTCCAAACCAAAGCTTATACAGAAGCCTAGACAATAAAATTAATAAAAGAGGAGCTACCGTGGTTGACTTAGAAAGGGCAATAGGAAAAACCTTTCTCTGAGATACCTCTGGGAAACTGTAGGTGTGTTATTGAGAAACCTTGATGTAGTTGACTTAAATTGCAATTCAAGGAATTTTGTTTTCCAATTCATTATTTTTGTATTTTTGTTTTCTGCATTTATGGTAAAATATGACAGAATGTATTGGTAGAAATTTGTTTAAAATATATCAATAGCTTTTCTTAGCCAATCACATTTAGTACTTTCTAGTCCCAGAAAGATTACCAAAAGTGATGATTTGTTAGAAACCAAGGCTAAGATTATCTACACCCTTGTATTTCTAATTACTATGTATAGATGCAAAAGTTGGACTGTGAAGAAGGCTGATGGGGGGGGGGGGCGAAGCTATTCATTTGAAATATGGAGTTAGAGAAGAGCCCTATGGATATCCTGGACACCAAAAAAACAAACAAGTGGATCCTATAGCAAATTAAACCTGAAACATTCCTGAAAGCAAAACTGACAAAACGGAAGCTGTCCTGCTTCAGGCTCACCATGAAAAGGCAGGGTTTTTAGGAAAAGGCTAGGAAAAACAGAAAGTATCAGGAAAAGAGAAAGACCAAATATGAGATGGATCGACTCCATAAAGGAAGCCATAGGCATGAGTCGAAAGGAGCTGAGCAGGGTTATTGAGGACAGGACATAGTGGACATCACTCATGCATAGGGTCTCCAGGAATCTGAGCCAACTGGATGACACATACACAGTCCAAGTTTCCTCCAAGTTCCAGAATAGGACCTGGCTGAGCATGAAGTAAGTGCTCAGTTAGTGTTAGATAAATTAATCACTACAAGTAATAATCCAGGTTCTGCGCAAGCATTTCTAATGATGGCAAGCACAGGGGGTGGGGCTTATTTTGTTAGGAATAATTTCCTAACAAAATTATCCTTTTTTGACTAGCTCTGATTGGCAGACATAAGTTAATATGAAAACCAAAAATACTTCTGTTCATATTTTACCTATTTGTTCTTAGTTTTGGTCTTGGGCTATTCAGGTAAAATTTGGTTCTGTCAAGCATTTGAAGGGTGCTATTATCTCTTTCTTTTTTAGCCCTACCCCCTATTCCTTATCCTGCCCACTGTCACCCACACATACAATCTTCACAATGTTTCTAAGCCACTGTAATTTTTCCTGATTTGGGTGGTCCATTGTCCTTTGTGATACTGACTTTCCCCTTTTCCATTTGACAGACAGACGTACTGGTCCTGAGCTGTGACCTAATAACAGATGTTGCCTTACATGAGGTTGTGGACCTGTTCAGAGCTCATGATGCATCACTTGCCATGTTAATGAGGAAAGGCCAAGATAGCATAATTCCAGTTCCAGGTCAAAAGGGGAAAAAAAAAGCAGGTAAGGAGACCAGTTTTATTTGTTTGTTGGGTTTTTATAATTATTATTGTCATTTTTACTTCCTTTTAAAAACCTTTATTGAAAACTAACTGCAGTACAGGCACTGTGCTAGCAGTTGATGACATGAAGTCCAATACGGCAGTTGCTGACTTAAAGAGATTATAACTATTAATCAGATTCTGTAAGGTCCTAGAGGCTTTTGTATACAGAGCAGAGCATTCAGAACTGTTTGCATTATGTTTAAGGCTTAAATAATGGAATGCATGTATCTAAGAAACAAAAAAATTAAAAACTAATTTAAAAAATATTTAAAGTTTGATTGCAAATTTAAATAGATACCTTAAAGCAGTTAGAATTACTATTACAAATGTAGTATAGTTGATTCTTTTGAATGGTTTAATCACCCTAAATACATAAGATAGTCATTAACTATGCTTTGTCTTCTTAAGATTACAAGATACATATTTTTACATTTTCCCAAGATTCTAGTAGTAAGTTATTATTTTTTTTAATCTTTAGAGAGTTCTGGTAATCTTAATAGACCAAAAAGAAAAGGAAAAGTACTCCAGTCAATTTAAGGTTTTAGTATTTGGGTAATTAACTAGTTGTTGATTTTAGTTAAGGCATAGTTCCTGATTGCTTTTCCCAGAGTATTTCAAACTTAAACCACTGATTCTGTGATGGGGCTACTTTTAATAACTGAACTTATGACCGCAAGCTTTATAAGATCACACTTCTTATATAGGTTTTAGTTTTTCCTGGAATGATGCATTTTTACCCTAGAGCTTTCCCCAGAAATGATGAGATCTTTAGATTTTGCTTATCCAACATCATGTAACCATTGTCCTGGCATCCTATCTAATAAAAGAGTAATATGCAAATTAACCATCACTCCACTATACTCACAAGCCAATCAGGAGCAAGTATACAAATTAACTCAACCAAGATGGCTACAGCCACAGAGAGAGCAGGAGGGAGGCTTGGGTTTCCCCAGTGATAGAGGAAGCCAAGCTTTCCACACACCCTGGCTGGCCCAGTCCTCTGCTTAAGACTACAAAGTTTCAGCCGGGCCGGTTTGGCTCAGTGGATAGAGCGTCGGCCTGCGGACTGAAAGGTCCCGGGTTCGATTCCGGTCACGGGCATGTACCTTGGTTGAGGGCACATCCCCAGTAGAGGCAGCTGATCGATGATTCTCTCTCATCGATGTTTCTAACTCTCTATCCCTCTCTCTTCCTCTCTGTGAAAAATCAATAAAATATATATATATATTTTTTTTAATTCTATGAAAGAAAAAAAAAAGACTACAAAGTTTCAATTATAGAAGATACATAAATCCCAACAGAAATGGTGGCAGCCACGGATCAGGAGGCTACGGTTGCCCCTGGGATGGACGAAGCCAAGCTTCTGCAGCCTTGGCTGGCCCAGGCCTTCGCTTCAGGCTACAAAGATATATAAATTATAGAAGATAAATAAATTCCAACAGACGAGCAGAAGGCTTGGATACATTCCAGGCTACAAAGTTTCAATTGTAAAAAATAAATAAATTCCAGATACTAGGGCCTCCACTTGGGTCACCGGGGGGACATGGCCGGCCTGCAAGCCACCACAGGCCCCTCGCTCAGGCTGCCTCATGCCCCAAGGGAATCCTGATCTGGGACACCCTTCAGGGCAAACCAGCTGGCCTCCACTCATGCACCAGGCCTCTATCCTATGTAATAAAAGAGTAATATGCAAATTATCACTTCAACACACAAGATGGCTGCCCCCATGTGTCCCCCTATGTGGACACAAGATGGCCACCACAAGATGGCCAGCAGGGGAGAGCCCAGGAGGCACCAGGCCTGCAAGGGAGGACAGTTGTGGGTGATCAGGCCAGCAGTGGAGGACAGTTGGGAGGCACCAACCCTGCAAGGGAGGGCAGTTGGGAGTGATCAAGCCTGAAGGGGAGGGCAGTTAAGGGGTGACCAGGCTGGCAGAGGAGGGAAGTTGGGAGCAAACAGGCTGGCAGGGGAGCAGTTAGGCATCAATCAGGCTGGCAGGGGAATGGTTAGGGGTGATCAGGCTGGAGACAGAAGCGGTAAGGGGCAAACAGGAAGGTAGGCAGGCGAGTGGTTGGCAGCCAGCAGTCCTGGATTGTGAGAGGAATGTCCAACTGACTGTTTAGGCCTGATGAGTAGTCGGACATCCCTCGAGGGGTCCCAGATTAGAAAGGGTGCAGGCTGGGCTGAGAGACACTACCCCCCTCTAATTATATATTGATGTAGTTTCTTACAATTACTAGAAGCTATATATGGCTTAGTATCCTGCTATTAATAGAGCCACCTAGAGCTTTCATTTCTAGGATTTGAGTAATCTAGTCTGTATTTTTAGCTTTTTCCTTTAGGGCGTTTAGTTAAGTTATAATTTTGCATTATAGCATTGAAACTTCTTTCTAGCTGCTTTTTGTGTTTAGGTGATCACTGGTGCAGATTAACTGTTGGATCCTCTTTCTATTTTATTATTATATATAATCCTCATGTCAATCATTCCTTTTGTTCTTTTTTTAAATATATATATATATTTTATTGATTTTTTACAGAGAGGAAGAGAGAGGGATAGAGAGCTAGAAACATCAATGAGAGAGAAACATCGACCAGCTGCCTCCTTGCACACTCCCTTCTGGGGATGTGCCCACAACCAAGGCATATGCCCTTGACCGGAATCGAACCCGGGACCTCTCAGTCCGAAGGCCAATGCTCTATCCACTGAGCCAAACCGGTTTCGGCTATCATTCCTTTTGTTCTTGATATATTTTCTACTTTTGCAAGTTCTGGTTTGCTTACTACATAATTCCCTCTATTCAGCCTTTTTTACTTATTTAGATAGAAACACTGTATATCCAGACTTTATACACTAATGTATATTTTATAGACTCCACATTTATAATAATTTTTAAAAATTAAATGCCGTGTTAGATTACTCTTCTTGGTATTAGAACATTTTAGTACATTTTATATTAGCTTTTATCTCTTAAGTATTATTATATTCAATTGACATCTTAACTATATATATATGTATATATTATATCTATCTATATATAAAAGCCTAAGCAACCAGTCATTATGATGTGCACTGACCACCAGGGGTCAGACAATCAATGCAGAAGCTGCCCCCTGGTGGTCAGTGTGCTCCCACAGCCAACCTCTCATGGCTGGCCAACCTCCTGCAGTCCCTCCCTTCCTCCCTCTCCCCCCCTGGCTGGCTGGCCCCAATTGGCCTTGATTGGGACTGGGCAAGACAGCCCCAATAGCCATCCAGGCCGAGGGACCCCACCCATGCACAAATCCGTGCACCGGGCCTCCAGTGTGTATACACACACACACACACACACACACACACACACACACACGTATACATATACAGTGTGTGTGTGTGTTGTATACATATATATATACATACATTATTTTGTATAGAAGTTATTTTAAAGAGAACTATTGCAACTGAAGTAAGTGCTCTCAGAAGTACACTATGCCAACATCAGTGAAACGGAAATGCCTTAAATACAAGCACATTTATCACTGACCATCTTGTAATCTTTCTGTAGTTCACTGGATGCAATATTTCATAATAAAGTTTTAGAATATTTCTAAATAAATAAATACATAGCTTTTTATAATTTTATTTTAAACTAACTTAACTATTATCTATCTGCCCATCCATTTGAAAGTGCTTTGATGTTTAAGTTGTCACAAACTGGACATGGAAGTTTCTTTAAGCTGGCTCTTCTATCCTTTTTGAAAAGTATGATGTATTTGGTAACTTGCTCTTTAACTGGAATGTGAACATGGAGACAGGGAAGCAGGAAATGGGAGTGAAGAGGAAACAGTGATCATACTAAAGAGTTTGAACTTTATACCTAACAGTGAGGAGCTATTGAGGAATTTTAAACAAGAGAATGCCATAATTAGATTTATGGTTTAGAAAGATTTGTCTTTCTTAACATGAAATTTTGAACTTCTCATTTTCTGTATTTTGTTATATTTGAAGACGAAAAATTCACCTGAATACCTGAGTTTTTAATTCCTCCCATGGGATGCTATGCATTTTAGTGATGAACATTTTATAAAGAATTCTGAATTTCTCAGACTATATATTTGGCCTGCTTCTTGGCAGCTATTGTGTGACAGAACAGCTAATCCCCTCTTTCTCATATTTTGTTTAATAGTCTAGACCCCCCTAGGTCCAAGTTTTCCAAATCATCATTTACTGGCTTATAGGAGAATGGCTATAATTAGATGTTTCCAGAACCTCCCCCCCCCCCCCACTTGCCAATTTCTTGGAAGATTTGTAGGAAACTGAGGAAGACAGGATCAAATTCATGTTTGGATTTTTTGGACTGTTTTTTTCCTGCTGCAGGCTGCTACACATGTTGTTCTTTGCCTGTCCATGCCCTCTTCTCATGTTGTTCTTTGCCTGTCCATGCACTACACACGCACTCTAAATTCAACTTAACCTTCAAAATATTTTCTGAGCGAGACCTTCCTTGACTCTCTAATTTGAAATTATATCCCCTGTTTACCTACATATGGTAGCTCTGCCTTCTTCTATGTAAACTCCATGAGAGCAGGGATCACACCTGTTTTGTTCATTTTTATTTCTATTTTTTCCCCCCTTAATCCTCACCTAGGGATATGTTTTTATTGACTTTTTAGAGAGAGGAAAGGAGAAAGAGAGAGAAAAAAACAACATTGATGTAAGAGAGAAACATAAATCAGTTGCCTCCCATATGTCCCCCTGACCAGAGATCAAATTCGTAACCTGGGTATGTGCCCTGAAGGGAATCGAACCCACAATCTTTTTGGTGTATGGGACAATGCTCCAGTCAACTGAGCTACTGGGCCAGGGCTGTTTTGTTCATTTTATTCCCAGGCTATGGCCCAGATATGACCCATGGTGAACAGTCTATAGATATTACAGTATTGAATGGTTTAGGGATCTGCCTATAAACGCAGCTCTTATTA